TTAATAATTATTAAAATATTTTATAACCTACATTACTCTGGATTACAAATAGTGAAATAATTTTTTAATTCCGTAATTTTTGAGTTATGTCCTTAAGAAAAATACAAAACCTACCTCTCATATTGTATCAAAATTATTTATTTCACCACTGTAAATCCCACACACTGGAGACTATTTGGTTGAAAGTTTGATTAAATAAGTTATTTTTCTTCGAAGTCTCGAAGCTCATTATAGAGTTCATGTTTGAGCGATCAGAGCGATAACATTAAATTTATTTTGTTTAGACATTTAACTCACTGCTTTGCCCCCTTAAAACCTCCTTGGATAAATATACTATTGTCTTAATAATGAGCTTTTAACAAAAAAGAATTCGTAATCGTTTCTATTATTTGTTTCTTCTTTTATTTTAAAGTTATCTACTTGTAGCTGTCTGTCTTGTAACTATAAATAGTATGTCTAACGCAAGAACTCATCAGTACCAATCTAGTGGATATTATGAACAAGATACAGGATGTAGATTTTTTCGAATTTTAATAAGAATTAGTAAAAAAAGTCAATTTTCTTATAAAAACGCAAAATAAATTATAACTGTATGGGTTGAGCTTAGAGATCTCCCGTAGAACAATTTTTTGCAGCTGATGACCTCATCTATCCCCTATTTGCGTTTGATCCACGCTTTTTTGGCCACCCTGTATATATAATAATTTGATATCGAAATTCCAGTGAAATGATTGTTAATTGACATCGAAACCGGAAGTCTTTGGTTTGGACTACCGCATGGTTACGTAAATAATATTCGAAACAAGTACGAGCAAGATGAATCTTTAGTTAGCAATTAACAAATAAAATTACTACAAAAACAAATTTACACGAAATTGACCACACTATATCAATTAATTTTTCAACTACAGACAACCTACTAACTATTCTAACAATAATAATTATAATTAACGTTTATATCTGGTGCGAGTAACGAAGAAGAGAGAGTGACTATTTTTTTTTGGGAATGGAATCTCGCTGTTGGCTTGCTTCGCGAGCATAGCCAAGCCGGTTTCCTCACAATGTTTTCCTTCACCATTCGAGCGAATGTTAAATGAGCACATAGACAGAAAGTCCATTGGTGCACAGCCGGTGATTAAAACTACAACCTCAGGGATTACAGTCGCACGGCCACTAGGCCCACACTGTTCATAGATTTTTGTATAGTTTCACAATTACTCACTAATTCATTGTTAGTTTTATGTAAATTGACGAAGATTTAACGAATATTGTTGACGAATCTACTTTTACTATTATTTTAATTATTAAAAAAGATACGCATTAGATTTTGCTCTTTGAATAACAAGTATAAATAGGGGGTTAGTGCTTTATACTGCACAAAAAGAGATAAAAAGAAACTTTATAACTCATAAACTTGTGATCGGACATCGAAGTGACATCAACTTACTCGTTGACACACGTTTAACTAGTCGGGCTACGAAACTACTAATGCTATAACAATATTTTTCAATTAAAACATACTCGCGGTATCCAATGTTATCAGTTATCACATAGAAACAAACCTAAACAAAAATAAAATACGGTAATAAAAAAAATTGCACTCCACTTGGTCTTGGTCAGATTGGCTCATATTTCTCTATCTGTTTTTTCATATTTATTTATCTTAATAACCAGCCTTCTGTGCCTGATACACGCCTTTTAATGATGGTGGTGAGCGTGTGACTGTGAGTATCGAAGGAATGCGAATCGGAAGTGGTGCTACGAAGGCTGTCCTATATAAAACCTAACCTATAACAAACCACACCGCGATCATATTATAATTAATTCTGATATTGTGCGGTTATCGACATGTTATTAGCCTTTATCAGGCACAGAGGGCTTCATATCATCATATCAACATCAAGATAAGAAGGTTCACTCACTCACTTATGTAATAACTAAATTAGGAAACCATTATTGAGTAATAATATAATATTTAAAATTAATATCACTCAATTTAGGTTATCGTATAGGACCTTTAATACAAATAGAGTTTTAATAGTTGATGGATTAGATTCCTATAACGTACTTATAATTTATTGTAAACATTTTACTTCAGCGTGTGTATATTTTTTTGTATTTGTCTGTCGTTCCACAACGTTATTTGCGGTCGTTTTTGTCCACCACTATGTCGAACCAGCTGCCCACCGCTGTATTTCCAAAGCAATTCGACTTAGGAGTTCTTCACGGAAAGATCGTACCAATTCATAAAATACCGGCAACCCACATGCTAGCCCTCTGGCAATGTGAGTGTCTATGGGTGGCGGTCTCACTTTACATCAGGTGAGCCTCCTGCCCGTTTACCCCATGTTACATAAAAAATTAATACATTCTAACTATATTTAAAACACTTGTTGCATGGTGAGCTGTTTATAACAAGTTATTTGTTTTTTAAACATATTTAACATCTCAAGAAAACCTTCCACTCGCTAGTTCAATGGCCAGCTCCATTTCTGCCCATTAAAAGCTACAGGTGGGGCGTGACAACAGTTCTGAGTTAAATTTTAGTGTTGCTCATTAAACTCTGAAATTGTGAACACGCTAGATGGATATCCCAGTTTTATTTATTTTCATTTTAACGTTGTCAAACTATTAAAATGAAATAAAAGGCATAAAGACTCTTTTACGACTTAAAATCGGCTCTAAAAAGGTTTTACGTGTTACAGACAACTTTAATGATTATTAAAAGTATCCTTTTGTTTATAATTCAATCTGGTATGTCTTGTTTCCTCGGCGTAGTCCTGTTTTATGTTTCAAGAAGATCTTACGAAGGAAATACTATTCTAAATGACGCCTGCAGAATTTCTGCATACGTTTCATATTTGGTCTTAGAAAATATGACCATGTGTCTAACTTCCGCAGGCAGCTGGGGTCGCTACCTATTCGATTCAGACGTCACGCTCATCTTCTTCAACTTCTATACTCAATTTTTTCGAATCCGAAAACCCCTTCTTATCTCAAAAATCACTTCAAATTCTTAGGTCCTTCTAACTATATGTTACGCTCTTCTAATAGATGTTTATTGGAAATTCCATCCCACACTTCATCCTTCTTAGGCAATTCATTTACGATTTCCGCCATTAAGTTGTGGAATAGGCTGCCTGACTCCGTACGATTGGCTACCTCTCTGTCATCTTTTATAACTCTTCTGTATAATCATTTCTTAACCTTATCCTATCCTCATCAATCGTGACTTGTATAATTCTTATGTTTCCTTTTACATCACTATTTGCTGTTCATGAATTTGTAAGATTAGCTTTTAAGTTTTTAGTCTGTTATTAATATATATATATTTTTTTTGTATTACTTTAGATTAAGGTTCTATATATATATCTTTTTTTATATAACATTTGGTTCTTCACTTCTCGCACGCATCGTGTTTCTTTTTTTTTATTTTAGTTTTTCTCTTTAACTAGGGTTGCCTGGAAGAGATCGCTTATTAGCGATTAGGCCGCCCGTTGCATCCCTTATAATTTTATGTATTGTGTTTCTATTATTTGCAACGAAGTGTAAATAAATAAATGTAGATTGTGGTTTCATCATCGGACGTCAAGGAAGAATACGAAATTCCAACCGTATTACCTCGACGTGCGTCGTTCCACAACTGAGCGTTATTTAAAGCAGTTTTTACACCACTATGTGGAACCAGCTACCCACTGAAGTATTCCCGAACCAATTCGACTTAGGGTCCTTCATGAAAAGAGCGTACCAATTACTGAAAGACGGTCTGACTCATCATCAGGTGAGTCTCCTGCCCGTTTTCCACTATTATTTAAAAGATACACATAAAGTGCATGTGCATGGAACATTGCAAAAACAGAAACACAAAATATTTCTCCACAAAGAAGTAAAAAACAATTGCTTTGATGGTAATATACATATTCCTTTTTTGATAAAAAAATATGTTAATTAAGCACTAATATGTTAATTAAATTTAACGGAAAGTTAAATAACATACTAATTCCTAGTAACATCAAATACAAACTTCTTTAAATACTTTTTTTATTTATTTATTCCACATAATTATTCTATCTTTACAGTTATTACTAATTCGATAGAAAGACACATTAATTATACCTACACCGATTAACCTACATAAAAAGTATTAAAAACATTTTATATACCTAAATCTTATAACTAATAATATAGGAAGCAACTCTTGTGAACTCAGCCAGTGTACAAACAAATAGGTCTACCTTAACAGAAATCCTATTTATTATAAGTATTGCTCGCGTGAGTGGCGCTTCGCTAACCAAGTTGGAATGTGCGCGCGGTACATCCAAAAGTTGAGACTTCCGCCTCAGGTTTTTAATTGGTACCCGTAGACGCAGTCTGTCCATTATATCCAGCCCTGCGATTCTGTAACTCACTTTTCGAACTCACACAGCGGTTTTCGCATCGGCGGCCGCTCTCAAATCAGTCTTGAAGCAGTCATTTTATGATTTGGCATTCTGAAAAGGTGGGAGCTTGTAGTTTATTGATTATTAGAATGCCAAATCATAAAATGACTGCTTCACGACTGATTTGAGAGCGACCGCCGATGCGAAAACCGCTGAGTGAGTTCGAAAAGTGAGTTACAGAATCGCAGGGCAGGTTATGAACCCGACCCGTAAGTATCTTAAATAAATACACTGACAAAGCTAGCTCTCTTCTGAGGCGTAGCTGGTCATAACCCACCATACCCAGAACAAACAGGGTCGGGTACATAAGCGGATACAAGGAATACACTCCATACAATCTCTTGTAGAGGTAACGGGTGAATTTATTTTGTACTCGCTCTAACATGAGACTGTATTTAGCCTCATATGGGGCCCACACCATTGCGTTGCACTCCAAGTGACTTCTACTTCGACTTACTTACGTAAAGGACAACATTATAAATGATACACGTTTAAATATATAATATATTATTATCAAAATCCCACAAACAGTGTTTTATTATCAAATATCAAGCAATTAAATCACTTGGTCTCTTCTTCATCATTCGCGACCTGCACGTTGAAGCGAGAAGACGCCTGGGGTTGAATCTCTTCGGGTTCTTCTATGGATGGTATTCGATATCCCATCAAAGCTGAACCGTAGTTGCCAAGACCGGTATCCCAGAATACTATCTGAAAAAAATACCCATTATAAAAACTAAATAATCTGATTGCACCGTTTAATAAAAGTACATGACAGTCTCTTTCGATCACAGCTTACTTTTTACAGAAGACGAAAGAGTACCTTAGTTAAAAAATGTAATTAGATCTAAGTACCAGCTGCACTTCTTGCTGATATAACAAGAAACCATATTAAAATTAAATTTTAACATTACATGATTCAAACAATTATAAATTATGCATAACAAAAAATTATACTAATCAGACATCATCTTCATTAAATTCTTATTCGAATACAGGAATACAACCTGTATTCGAATGAGAGTTCTCTTCTATCTATATATCTATGGAGCTCCGATGTTTCAATTGTTTTGTTATTAGGTTATAATATTATGATGTGTATGTCTGTCCAGGTGGACAGAAAAACTGTGACCAGATTGTTTCCACGATACAGTTATAAACTTCTTTTTTATTTCAGATGATGTATACAATAAATAAATAAGATTTATATAAATGTCGGGTCCCTACATCTTCTAACGCATTTATCATGGAAAGTTTGGAGGAGTTGTTTTAACACAAGTGAATTTCATAATCGGACGTCAAGACAGAATATAACTGACCGTTTTTAAAGCACTTTTTGCCGCGCACCAGCTACTCACTTAAGTATTTCTGAATCAATTCGACTTCAACAATAGAGCGTAAAATTCTTAAAATGCTAGAAAGCCTTTTGGCAGTGTCCATGAACGGCGGTGTCACTTAACATCAGGTGAGCCTCCTGCCCATTTGCCACCACTTCTATAAAAACAAGTTATACCTGGATGGTTAACCAGCTAATGCAGAAACAGATAGTCTGACGAGCTTGGGATCTATTACCAAAACAATAAATATTATGAGTCTCACTAAAATACAGAGTGGCGTGTTAAGTGTTTAAGTCTCGTAATGAGAGATGGGGAACAGTGTTGGCCTAGAGGCTTCAGCGTACGACTCTCATCCCTGAGGTCGTAGGTTCGATCTTCGGCTGTGCACGAGTGGACTTTCTGTCTATATACGCATTCGCTTGAAAGGTGAAGGAAAACATCGTGAAGAAACCAGTATGCCATAGCAATATCATTTTTAATATGCCTATTTGCCAAAGAGGAATGGAAAAAAGCATGGTGGATGAAACATTGAGGCATCGAAAAAGAGCAGAAGAGATAAGATCAGCGACCAAAGTAGAAGACATTATAAAGAAAATAAGGCAATTGAAATGGCGCTGGACTGGGCACATGACGAGAGATAGCAGGTTGAAATGGACAAAACTAATTACAGAATGGCAACCACGCGATTGAAAAAGGAAAAGAGGAAGACAAAGCAAGAGATGGGCAGACGATATAAAGAGAATAGGAGGCACAACTTGGACAAGAAGAGCTAATATCAGAAAAGAATGGAAACAGCTGGAATAGGCCTATGTGCACGCTGACTACCTAAAACGGGTCAATTGACGTATTAGATTAAGTCTTATTTATGTATTAGAATTAAGTGTCTTTTTTATGTAACTTAAATAAGTGTTATTATATTGTACTGGGTGTCAGCAATAAAGACTTAATAATAATAATAATAATTTGCCTATTAGAAATGATATTGCTATATAACGGAATAGATACAAAGATCTGAGGCAGAGGCTAAAACGTTGTAGCGCCGGTATAATTAGGGATGGAGCAAATCTGCAACTGAAATCTGAAATGCTAGCTAAAATATTATTAATATATAATATCATACCTGATCATCAATAATGTATCGAACGTAATATATTTCATTAAATTTTACGAATCCTAATGAGTCAGCTATTTGCTGGCCCCTCCCTGTAGTAAAAAAACCAGCTATGGCAGGAACATTAGCGCTCATACTGAGACTAATCGCCCCTTTTAGCATTTCCTTTGATATACCTGAAATTCATTAAGTATTTTCTTTGAGCATTACGTTGTGCACCAATACAGTTCTTTTGTAATATGTTATATGAAGGGGTGAATGAGTGAAGGAAACGGTTAAAATTTATTTGCGTGATTCTTATTTAGAAAACATACATAAAACATATTATATATGACTACGTTCTATTTCTACATTTTCTAATATTAACCTGTCATAACTCATACATACAAGTGAATGTGATGAAAATTCATATAAGGCTAGTTTTGAAAACGAAAGATCTTATAATTAAAAGAACTTAATTAATTATAATTACAAGGTAGCATTTCTCTTCTACCTTGTAATTAACTTATTATTAGCCTATAATTTAATTCTGATTTAATAATCTTAAGATTAGCTTTAACTTTTTTAGATTTTAGCTTACTGTTACTCTAGTGTTATTTTGTATTAATTTAGTTATATCTAATAATTAAAAATATATAGTTAGAAAATTAAAATTTAAAATGTTTAGTCCCTGTTGCAGTGTACCTTTAACGCTGTCAGTATTTCCTCATTGTATACTTATTCGTTGAGCAAGGCAAGCACCAGCTCTGGGATCACCGGTACTATCTACCAGGAACCAATTTAAATCTTTAATTAGCGCCTGGGCACTTGAACCTCACGGCCCAAGAGTCTCTACTCCAAAGGGAACAAAATCGAAGTTGGAGGAGAGACTTTTCTTTAAATTTTCTATTTATAAATTTTTAATTATTATTACTATGTGGATTAAAGATATTGTTAATACTGTATTAACTTATGCACTTCTTGCACATAACCCTACCTAGTAGGTAATTATTTTCTTTTTCTGGTAACCTGTTTGTTATATTTACCTATAAGGTAACAAAATTATTTATTGATGTGTTTTACAACAGTCTGCCAAGTTACTGTAACTTTGTATATCGTGCTCTTAATGAGGTTTATGTTTTCATTTTGTTTTGATTATTATTGTTTTTATATTTTTTTAGTTTTAGTTATAATTAATTTTTAGTTTTTATTTTGAGGTTGTTTGTTTAATTTTTTCCTTTGATAGATTGTTTATGTTCTAATATAATTAATGTGTGTGTGTGTTCTTGTATTTCTTAGGAATACACATTGTTTTAGAACGTATAAATAAATACGCCCTAAAATATGGTTTTGTAAGTAAGGTTTTTGAAGTTATACTTCTTTAGGCGCGTCATGAAAAATTGATGAGAGCGAAATTTTACGATGCGCGCGCACCGTGACACAAAATTAACAGAATGAAGTTGCCCACGGAAGATGCTACTGCATTGGACATAATATAAAAACAACATTCGAATAATAATAGAATTTATGTTACACTTAATGTAAGAGAATAATAATAAACATTTATTTATTTAATTTTTCAAATGTAAACTGAACTTTATTGACTATAATGACTCCTTTTCCAGTCTTTGATTATTGAATTGTAATTAATTATTTGCATGCAATCAAAAACTATTTTTAATAATGCCAAAGAAGTATAACTTCTTACGCGCGTACATAAGTACACGCACCCTTTTTTTAATAAGAACCTATATATTTGTACTGGATTTAACGACTATTATCTATACAAGACAGACTCTCACCTCTATGCCGATACCTGGGCTTCAGCGCCAGCACATAGATCTTGAAGTACCGCCTCACACCAAGCTTCTCGAATAGGTTCACTGGCTTCTCCAACTCGTTATTAAATGCTACCACCGTTGAGTAAAGAGGATTGTAAGTGATCTTGACTCGGCTGAATGTCCGAGAGAATGCCTCTAAAAAAAGGTGAATGTACTTATATACACGCGTTAGAAGTTATACTTCTTTGGCGTAACAAGATAAAAAACTTTTCAAAATTATTATCTTTCGCCTTATTCTACGTTTGTAGAAATAACGACACTAACAATAGAAAAAAACTTGCTTTTAACATTTTTCCCTAACGCGCCAAAAGAATAACTTCAAAAAAACCGAAATGTTGACTATAGCTAACTTTAGGGTGTCGGTTTTTTGTGACGGTGTGCGCGCGCATCGTAATTCGTCGTAAATTTACTCTCATCACTTTTCCTTAACGCGCCAAAAAAAGTATAACTTCAAAAAAATTGGACTAATTTATTAATTTTCATATTATTTAATGTTACCCTAGCGTCTTTAGCGTGCATAGGACATAGGTTCAAATCCCGGCTATGTATCAATGAACAATGGAAACTGGTATGTCTTAGACCCAAAAAGTCGATAGCGTCAGGCACAGAATGCTGATCACCTACTTACCTATTAAGAAAAACGAAACCCAAAGCCGATATAGAAAACCGGGCTCCTTTTAAATTAGACTTCTTCTGTATATTATTTTAAAGCATATTATAGAATATACGCGTGTATTGTTCCCACATAATCTATAATCTTAATATATATAAATCTCGGGTCACAATGTTTGTCCTCAATGGACTCCTAAACTACCGAACCGATATCAATCAAATTTGCACACCATGTGCAGTTCGATCCAACTTGAGAGATAGAATAGTTTAAATCTCAAATTATAGTCGCAATTTTAATTTATTGCAAAATATTTGTTTATTATTTGATACAATTCTAACAGATGGCGCTGTGTTAAAATTATCAACGTTTCACATAAGCTGTCATCTACCTTTCACATAAGTTCTCCTACCGTTTCCCTTGAATAGTTTACTACTATGTAATATAACAAAAATCTTAGCCAGAGCAAAGCTTGGCCGAGTCTACTAGTGTATAATAAAAATCGTCTACAAAAATCGGTAAAACCCAATTCAACCAAAGCCAGGCCAGGATATTAAAGGCAATCGGTTCACCTTACGTTTTGAGCAAGTCTAATATAGACTCATACCAAGAGACTACTTGGAATCCAATTTCCCTACAAAATGTATGGTCCAAATGGTCTCCGTTTTTACCCTTTAACATGTTCTATGTACGAAGAGTGGAATTAGGGGATCCTTTATTTATTAATTTCTTCAGTTGACACATCAAAATTTCGAAGTGGCTTTAGAGATATATGGGCTCTCGCTGTATGCATTAACCATAGTGTTCAGACGAGTTGTTCGGATTACTAAAAAGCTGAGTTTCATCATCGGACGTCGAGGCTGATTACGAAATTCCACCCGTACCTATCACCTCGACCTCCATCGCTGGCCACTGAAGTATTTCTAAACCAATTTGAATACCTTCAAGAAAAGAGCGTACCATTCTTATAACGCCGGCAACGCATTCGCGAGCCCTCTGGCACTGACAGTGGCCATGGGCGGCGTATCACTTAACATCAGATGATCTTGCCCGCTTGTTTGTTCTATAAAAAATATTGTGATTTTATAATTTTTAAATATCCAAAACAATCAGGTGTTGAAAATAATAAACACCGCGTCATCTTATGATTTGCATCACACTCTAAAACCGTAAGCTGAATCGGAATTCTTTTTACGGATACTTTAAAAATTTAGGCTCAAAGAATCCAAAGAATCCACTCTCTAATGTTACGACCGATACAGGAAAATCGAGTTTTAGTCGATTCAATAGGCTATATTACAAAGGGGATAGATTTGAATATTCCTATCTTTGTTTGCGATAACACATTTTTAACCAGTCATAGTAGTACCTACCGCAATTATCATTTTTATTGCATCGCAATTCATGAATCCATGTTAGCTTTTTAGATTATTTTATTTAAAAAAAATTTATTATTTCAGATTAAGTTTGGTGATTCTATAATTTTATCTCTATATACTCGTATATAAAATTCTCGTGTCACAATGTTCGTTACCATACTCCTCCGAAACGGCTCTACCGATTCATGTTTTTATTCCAGAAAACCGAACAGTCTCTGGGGTAGCATAGCACAATGTTCCATGTTGGTATGTACTAAAAAGGTAGGCTAAGTAATATCACATTAAGGAGAACCGAAGTTCGCTGGGGCAGCTAGTATTTTATATCATGTGGTTATGCACTTCTTACACTTTACCCATAACGTTTCGTTTTTTAGTTTTTTCTTTACTTGGGTTGCCTTAGGCCGCCCGTTGCATCCCTTATAATATTTATGTATTATATTATTTGTTTTTGTATAAATGTAACGAAGTGTAAATAAATAAAAATAAATAAATATTGTGCATTTACAGGACGTCTAAAAGGCAGTCATCCCAGCCCATGGAGACTCATTTTAGTGGGTTGCCGGCCTTTGAGGGAGGAGTATACTCTTTCTTTAATCAATTGGAGGTCGCATCTCCCAGTTAACTCCGGAAATCAATTCGCGCTGCACCGTTATCTACTTCGCCTACGATATACTTTATTTTATTTTAATTACAAAAACTATTTACTAGTATTAAACTTTTGATAAACTTTATTTTTAATATTCACTCATATTACAGTACAATATTGCATATAACAAAATATATGTGTGGTTTACAATCGCTAAACCACCGGTAATTCGATATGATACTCAGTAATTGCATGAAATAAATATTTCCCTTTATATATTGAGTGAATATGTTCTATTTTAGACTATATTATCTACTGTCATTTGAAGAATTATTCTATTCTCATTTGTTTATTAACTAGAGGTGAATGGCATCATACTACAGCTTTGAAACACAAATATCGGAAGGCAGCTATAATTTATCTATAAAGCAGTGTTGGCCTAGTGGCTTCAGCGTGCGACTCTCATCCCTGAGGTCGTAGGTTCGATCCCCGGCTGTACACCAATGGACTTTCTTTCTATGTGCGCATTTAACATTCGCTCGAACGGGGAAGGAAAACATCGTGAGGAAACCGGCCCGATAAGTCGACGGCATATATCAGAAGAACACCTACTTACTATTAGAAAAAAACAATAATCAGAGAACAGAACACGAAAAGGCCCTAAGGTTGTAGCGCCACTGGTTTTTTATACGTAACTATTATTTTATTCATGACAGAAATAGGTTGTGACAAAATGCTATCGCTAGTAGTGTTGTGCGTAACTAGAAAACAATTATTCCGTGGTACATATTTAAACGATTTTTATAAGAAAAAGTACATTAAGTATGCGTGAATGTATGAGTATGTGAATATGTGTGTGCGTATAATACATTCTGTATTTTAGAGAGTGGCTGTGAGTTGTTATAAGCGTGCGCTGTGACTGTGTTTTTGGAGCTTCAGAGTCATGCCAAAATACGCAGAAAGGCGTCTGTAGATTCGAAATCCAATTCGGCTATCCATAGATTAAATCCATAGATTAAAAGATGTAACTAACGTTTCTCTTGAATCCTCATGATGAGAACACCTATAAGTTTATCTGTCCCTTCCTTGACTGCAGCAATCGACATTTTATCTTTCATCCAAATTCTGGCTTGATGTGTGAATTCATCCACTCCTTCCTTATCGTCAGCTATCTTCACTGACCGGTATGTAATCTATGAAAAATAGTTATTTTATTTTAACATCTCAGCGCCAGTCAATAAACGACCCGTCCTATTACTTCCAATTTGAACTAACTAAAATCCGGTCACGTGCGTAATCTAAAGCTCGTTGCGTGAGTGTCCTATGCATAAAGATATATAACTAATTTAGTATGATGTTCGGTAAGTCAGAGACAAGTTAATAGGTGTGAAGGTGGTATATCAGTACAGCGGAACTCAATTAATAGTAAAACAGAACCAGACCGTGTGACCTGCTCAGAACAATTGTTTTTCTAATAAGCGACCCGCTCTGGCTTCGTAGGGGCAACCGTAAACAAAGATAACTTAAAACTTCCTCATGAATCATTAATGATATTGGTAAAACCACAATAAATTCCGTGCAGTCGTTTTTGAGCTAGACGCGGCGGAGGACTGGTTTTTATTTAATTTAGTTTCACCGTTTTTTTCTCCAACTCACTTTGCAACTCCGACTCCACGTAAGTCTTTTAATTTTTCAGGTTAAGCCTGTGAAACTAACAAAATACTTGTTTGTTAGTGGCTTTCTATTGGTAAGAGAATTTTAAAATAAGTTCAGTCTCACAAACTTTACGTCTTTATAATATTAATATCAATAAAAAGATGCACCCGGAGAAGACGGAAATGCGGACATACATATGTCGATAGGCCACCAGTTATCTTCCGACAAATATAATATCTGATCAACAAAAACACGAACACTGTCACTTTTCAGCACTGTGGAAGAGGGCCGCTGTAGTAGAAGGCCAGCATATTGCCAGAAAATGTTAGTCAAAAGAATCCAGATACCACGCTTGAGCAACCGCCATTACGGCTTTATATCCCAGCGTACCACTGAGGTCGCCCTCTATATCGCATTGAGACATACAAGCTTGAAGAATAGAAAATCATAGCTGTGATATCGCTCGATATAGAGGGCCTGGGGTTGTATATCTTTTATTTACGCCACAAGAAAAACAAGTAATAATAACTACGAATTAACCTAATTATCTCCTAGATAATTTTAGGAAATAATTTATTCTAACTAAATAGACACTATAATAAACTCACATTCGCCGTAAAACATAAAAGGCATTACAGTCTAAACGCTTGAAGCTAAGTATAAAAGCCTACAAAACTTTCTAAGCACCACTTCCGCAGGTGTAAAAGCTTAAGTCGCCGTGTGGACTTGTTTGTTTATCTTTGCTAAATACTGAGTGAAAAGCTTACGAATTACAGCCTGTTGTTTGAATAATAGTTAACCTACTGAGTGGCTTCGTGGTACTGGTACTACAGGTTAATCTTATTAGAAGCTATTTAAAATTATTAAACAAATTTCTATTTATACGATTAATATTGGATATAACAAATCGTCAACTGTTTCGTTAAATATTTTTAAACTTGGTTCGTTCTTTAAATTCTCCAGCCCGAAACATTATTTTTAAATTTGGAATCGAACCCAGAAGTTTGAGACCAAGACGGTTTAACGTAAACATTCCTGTTGACAATGTTTTGAAGATGGGCAAATGGGACATAAGCCTCATCTGATGTTAAGTGATATCGCCGCCCATTGACTCACATTTCCAGAAAGCTCGCGTGTTGCCGGCCTAAATGTAAACTGTAAACAACTACCCTAAGTACTCAGTCATTATACATACATTTATCTAAGGTGACCAACTATTTTTTATTCAAAAAGATATATAAAAATGTCAATCGTTTCGGTGACAGTATTAAACATTCGCAACGCCTTTGTTAAGGGGGCCTGGTGCCACAAATTAGTTCTGCCCCTAGGGACTGCAAATAACCTTCGTTATCCGCTGATTAAAGTTCTTTAATCAGTGAATTTTCTGTGCCTCTTACAATAGGTGTCGAAAGCTGTTACCGATATAATTTGTTCAGCTTGATCGTTTCGGGGAATTTAAAATACTGGTTCATTGTTGAGTCTTAAAAGTATCTCAATTACGCAAATTAGCGTTTCAATGGACAATCCATTTTTCCCCTTTCTCTTTGATTAAATATTTCGCGATGTAATTGGAATTTTTTGATTACCTTCACAACTCTATTGAATTTAAATGATAAAATATATTTTACAAATAATTCATATTTTTACGTAACATCGTCTGAACTTTATTAAGTTAACATACAGGTGTTTGTTGACATAATGTAGGTATGACTCGATTTTAGTGAATAAAATTGCAAAGTTCGGAAAATATTATAAGCGAATATGGTATACTCTTACTAACTGGTGGTTAGTTGTCATCACATATGACAGATAAGGTCTCGGGTACAGATCTTGGACGGGCCCGTAGAATATGGAACCCTATAACGATTGCCTCTTTTATTTATTTATTAAAGTACACCAAATCATATATAATGAATTTTCTATAGTATAAGTACAATCTATCTATTCTAAAATACATGACAATTACGGTGAATATTTTGCAAAAAATTATATTACATTGCCAACTACAAATTTTGCGTAATACTTAGTGGACTAAAATAAACATTACAATAGTTAGCGTGTTTGAATGTGTTTCTATTACCTATTAGAAAGAGCAAGCCTGATCGCAAGGTACTCTAAGGGGTGACTGATTGATTGATTTAAAGCTAGCTAAACGTCTCGAAGCTTTTGATATGTGGTGTTACCGTCTTTTGCTTCGCATCAGCTGAGTGACGAATGAAAGAGTCCTTAAACGAGTCGGGACGACACGAAAGTCTATGCAGCCTGTTAAGTGGCAAATCTCGGACACGTCTTGCGTCATCAATACGACCTGCTGCAGCTCATAATGATGGACAATATTCAAGGGACAGGCTGGTAGAAGGATGAATTCGTGGTTGCGGGACGTACGGGAGTAGACACATCACATCCGCCGAGGAGCTTTTTAGACTAGCGTAAGTTACCCGGCAATTAATAATGAAGTGGCGCCAGAAGAAGATCTGTTGTCTAATATACGTAATACGTAAACATGCAATGATACGGTAATTCTTTTGATAATTGAACGTTTCCTCTTTTGTTTTACATTCCCCCCCCATAAGAGTTATGGGATCCTAGTACAATCCGATCTTTGATGACCCGCGTATATAGCCTGTCTCATTTAAAAATCTAGAGAACTCTTACAAGCATAATACTATGAACATACATACTTCTTCAGTTAAGTAATGTTTCTTCAACAACCTGACAGCATCCTCATACCGCCTCTCCTGTAAGTCTTCGAACCGTATTCCGCCAGGATACCTTCCCCAGATTGATGGTGCCTTTATTCTGGTTTCTAAGATCTTCATTTTTTCCAACTGTTCAGCCTCTGTACTCTTTGCCATCTTCTACTGTGTCTGTAAATTACAAAATATACTTTTATTATCGAAATATTTTAACATTTAATAACACGCCCAAACACGCTTTGTTTTTGAATATCAGAACTAGTGAAAAATTATATTATTATTATATTATAGTATGAATTCGACATCCACATATAAAAAGAATTATCATTATAAGTCTCAAAGCCCTCACAATAGTTAAAGGCAAATAAGTTTTAAATAAAAATCAACTTTAAAATATTTACATTACTCTTGAATTAAATGACCACGTCTTACTTACTAAGTAAAAACTTTAATTTAGAAAAATGCCGTATGAAATTATATTAAATATAAATGTTTATAAAAACCACACAATTATTTACACTAACTTGATTTGAAAATGTCAATGTCAGCCAATAATTGGCGTAACCTGTCATTTTGATGTATGATGGTATCATCTATGAATCTTTTATTGACTATTAAACACTCAATTATAAATGGATTTATTAATATAAAACAGAGCGGGGAAATAACAAATGTTGGATAATCAATGATTAATTTGAATCATAGGAGGTATTCTAGTTTTACAATACCTCAGCAACAACATTATCGTTCGTAATAATAATAATTATTATTATTTATTGCAAGAATATGGTCCAAAAATGTGTAAGGTGGTACAATCTTAAGTTCGCATATTCTGCCACACACAATAGCGCGCAAATTTGTCTTAAGGAATTTTACATTTTACATTATTACTCAAAGTTAATTCTAATATTATTTGTATCGTACATATCATATCATACAATTCATGATGTGCATTTGGTATCAATAATGAACTAGTGACAATTAAATGCTTTTTAAAATCGTTTGGAGTGAAATCTGTGAAAGAAGCCGAAGGCAACAAAGGAGGCTGGATACAAATTGCTTAAATTATAAAATTACTGATTGCTTTGAACGCTAAAGGGTTTTAATACAAAGTTTATTAAAATGTTTATAATTTAAATGTTTCTCGGAATAAGGATTGCCTCAAATGACAAATGAACGGTTTTCTGGTATTAAAGCTTTGTTTAATAAAGTAATACACAAATTCATAGCATACATAATTGTTTCGTATATTTTCGTAGCTGATATCTAATAAGGGGTATGTAATAAGTTATCTGTATGTATGTCTGCGGTACCGAATCAGTATTTTAAGAGCGGCCAACCCGTCTATCTTTTCATACAAACGCTCGTACGTGATTATGGCGTTGTAACAGATATTTATTTGAAACTTTTGAACTAATAGGCATCTTGTGCACTATATCCAGGTTTCTTTTAAAACGCGAAATCATAATTTTATGAAACAAATTCAGTACAAAGCAAATTTTATATGGAGTTTGGGCGTTTATAATGTACTCATCAATTGTAACCGGAAATAAATTTTTGCATAGATAAAATGAAATGGAGTTTCTAAATGTAAAACTTTTTTTTTCATAATCTTGTAAGGCTTACGAAAAAACACGTATTTCTTGGAACAAGTTTTATGAAATTTCCGCACACTATTTTTCTTTCAATGTTATCGCGTTCTCACTTGCTTGTTAGCCATGTGGATGAAACAACAAGCTTTTTGGCCATGCTCGCGTTGCCGTTCGTCTGACGGGGAAGGGCGCTCTTAATGCTCCTAAACGAAAGGAAAGATTATGATGCATTTTTCTTGCTTCTTAGCTTGTTTTTCTGGTTCATAGTTACTTTCCTTTATAACATATGTATGACCTTACATTTGGAACACCTACATGGTAGTAGCTACTCATATGATAAAGCTTGAGGATTACTTAATATGTATTATCGTATCTTAGATATTCATAATTAGACTAAGTCTACTAAGACGACAGTGCCGATGTAAGCGTATACCACTTAATTTATTGTTCAAAGATCCTATGGAACAATGAGATAAGTTAGGCGTGGGGTCTGCAAACCCGAGATACCTGCTTGTTTAGATAACATCCCACAAATTAATTTAGACTTAAGATAACGATTTGCTTAAATTACTAAACATACATAACAACATAATGGTTGATACAGAACATCGAAACTTGAAACCTAACCTAACCTAACCTAACCGTGTTTTTGCCTCGACTTTAAACTGATTAAAGATAGTGTTTAATAGACACTTACAGCTCCTAACAGGCCTGAGTAATACACAAGCGCTAAGGCTTACCGAAGACAGGGTGGAATAAAGAATTTTTGCATTACCACATTATGAAGATTTGCAATACCAACACGGCCTTCATTTACGAAGAACGCGACTAAAGGGAATGGACACGCCAATCTTATCACTCAAAGGACACTCAGTCCTTCGTTATTTCTCTGACTTCTCTTCTATCTATTCTATCTCTTTCTAATTTAATGTATTTATTACCGTCATTATATTAGGTCCTTACATATGAAATTGGCGTATTTCGTACTGGCCACTTTAATCACGATGTTCTCCTCTTTGGTAAGGAATTCCAAATTCAAATTTGTACAGCTATTTACTCATGTATTTGTGCTTCGATGACCGTCATTCATTTGTTTTTTTCTTCTGTTTTTTTCTGTTTGCGTCACTCATTTTACAAAATGGAAATCTTAAAGTATCGCATTATTTACGAGTACGAGTTCCGCCGTGGCACTAGTGCTGCGGAAACGACTCGAAGGGTGAATGATGTGTATGGCGGTCATGTTGCAAAAGAAAACACAGTTCGTTTTTGGTTCCAACGTTTTCGTTCTGGAAATTTCGACCTGCAGAACAAGTCCCGTGGACGACCTGAGACCCAAGTTGATAATGAAGTATTGAAGGCTACTGTGGAAGCGGATCCATCGCAAACTACGTCCGAGTTAGCTGCAGGCTGCGGTGTTAGTGATAAAACTGTTTTAATTCACTTGAAGAAATTGGGAAGATTAAAAAGCTTGAAAGATGGGTACCTCACGAATTGACTGAAGCAAACCGGCTAACGCGCGTCGACTGCTGCGTTACATTACTGAACCGGCACAATAATGAAGGTATTTAAAACCGAATCATTACCTGTGATGAAAAATGGATTCTTTACGATAATCGAAAGCGCTCAGCGCAATGGTTGGATCCTGGCCAGCCAGCCAAATCCTGCCCCAAGCGAAAATTAACCCCAAAAAAAGTTACTTGTAAGCGTTTGGTGGACTAGTGCCGGTATTGTCCATTGCAGTTTTCTCAAATCTGGCCAGACTATTACGGCTGATGTCTATTGTCAGCAATTGCAAACCATGATGGAAAAGCTATCAACAGACGGCTACCAAATCAGAAGAGCTTCAATTGGAATGTCTAAGACATCCTCCGTACTCCCCGGACCTTGCTCCAACAGATTACCATTTTTTTCGAAATTTGGACAACTTCTTGCAAGGGAAAAAATTTAACTCTGATGGGGCAGTCTAAATCGCCTTCACAGATTTTATTGATTCCCGTCCGACTGGTTTTTTTAGTAAAGGGATTAATGAACTACCTATGAGATGGCAAAAGTGCATAGAAAACAATGGTTCATACTTTGATTAATTAAATATATTATATTTAAAAATATTCGAATTTTTGTTCCTCCCATACAAAACGCCAATTTCATATGTAAGGACCTAATATTTACTTTTGTCAGTAGTTGTAACCATATATGACATGACACTTGCGTCATTATTAAAAATATTATATCATTCACATTTAAATTCTACTTACCGTATTGAAAATATCGTAACCGCGTTACACAACGTGCTACCATAAACTGAAATTTGTGAGGGAAAAAAGAAAAATAAATCGATACACATTACGACCTGAAAGTTTCGTCGTGTCACGGACAAGAGTAGCGCAAAGTTTGAGAAGTGGTTCCGTTTATAATATATTAAAAAAGCTCAAGAAACACTTCGCTGATTTAAACAATTCTGTCACAATTTAAATGCTTTAATATCCAAAAACATAAACATTTTTTTTATATATTTAAATGTCCGTGCGTGTCCATGTGGGATAGGCAGTTTACTAAGTTAAACTCTGTCAGATAAATTATATTTATATTATTCATTAATTAATGATATTTGGAGTTTTATCAACTGATAAGATATTTGTTATTTAAAGCTTAAAGAATTAAAACAAATATATGTAAAAAGATTCCAGGCGGTGTTTTCTGTAATTTTCTAAATAATAACCTTATTCTTTAATTATTAATAATAAAATAATACTTTTCAATAAAAGTTATATTTACCCGATTGCAGTGTTATTCAATTTTTTAATTTAATTGTACAACTGTCTATATGACGATAGTAGCTGTTACGAACACGAAAATATCTTCGAATATGTTCCTTAACTTCAATGGGGCAAAAGGTATGCACTCGTGTATATATTTTCTTTATAGACAAGAGGCCGTCAGCCATATGTGCCCAAACATTGGTATGTATAAGAATTAAAATTTCGTTATTACTTTGAATTTCTGACAATAAACCCTTACATTGCAACAATAGTTCAAGTATTCGTCTGAGTTGACAATAATACCGTTCTGACTTAGATTTTCACAAACACGAGTAATCCAAAAATATGTTCATGCTTTCATATAGTACCAAATATGCGCCACTACACTGCTCAAAATCGTAGAAATTTTATTGTTACAATTTTATATAAACTATACGATTCGTAGTTCGTTCATAAAGGTACTGTATTTCTTTACTACATTCTATTATAAAGATGTACTTTCTTCTGTACTGTAATTCTTATGTGCTGTACTGGATTCCTTAACTATTTTCTCTTATACAGCCCATAGATCTCTTACATCTCAATTGAATCTGAACATAATTGATCAGAACACGTTTGGCTACAGTATTCAAAATATGTTAAAAACAATGTATATGAGTTAGAAGTTACTTTGCCTAGCTACATAACTCTATTCAGAACCAGTCAATGCCAGTCAATATTCAGATTGCACAATACCGTACCTAGCACCGTAAAACACAGTTCTTAAAAACCTTGTCCTTACAACCAAAGTTTTTAATACCATATTTAA